TGTTTGTATTATGTAGTTATTGTTATTTTTTTAGAATTATAGATATTTTTGACACTTTTTATATAGTAGTTGTTTTCCAGTGTTAATTTGTTAACTTTTAAGTGTTTTACTATGTCTGGGCAAAGTTGTGCAGCAAAAAACTATATGAATAAACTGTATTAAAAGATTTTTTCGGTTTCTTAAAGATCCTATTAGGTATGTATGGTATACTTTTAAAAAAAATCCTAGGTTATGGGTCAGTTTGTCAGTTATAAAGCTATTAGTAGGTAGGTGCCTAGTTAACGTCACGTAAAGTTTAGCGTCAATTTATATTTACTTATGTAGGTATATTATTAAGATTTAAAGTAAAATTTCCATAAATATATGTTATTAAGGGTCGATTCCACTGTTGTGTTAAACGGAGATTAAAATGACATTGTTAATGTAAAAATGTCATTTTAAACTTTGTTTAACATAACGGTGGAATCGGTCCTAAGTTATATTTAAGGCTGCTCATATATTATACTTTAAAAATATTAATAGAAATTTTAAGACCATCAATAAAAACAAGCTAATTATTTGGCGCAATCTGTAGCTTTTTTGTTTTAATACGATCCTGCCTATCAATACCTTATTTTATTACAAAATCTTTAAATACGCCATAATCCGACCCTAACTAAGATCCCCGAATGGCGTCGCCAAGGTCAAATTTTCTTAGTATAATATTTGTATGCGATCAGCGGCAAGTGAGCCTGCCGATTGTTTCTTATGCCGTGCCCATGTGATCTGGTAACATCAAAAACATAGCGAAAGGGCCTGTCTTTGTCAATACTGTCAAATAGCGTTCATTTGGGTTTTTGGGTATATTTATATTATTTAAAAGTTATTGATTTTTTGCATTTTGTCAACACGCTTTTATTCAATATTTCCTCAAATAATAATAAACCAATCAATTCTTTTAAGAGCTAATTAGTGACTTCGTTCTTTTCTTTTATTTTTTTTTTTCTGTCGGTAAGTGTAAATTTATTTACTTTTATACAAGTTTATTGACAATATAATTTTCAGCTCAAAATGTTCACACCGGAACAAGATTCTTTTATATTAATGTCACATTTTAAAAGTGGATCTCGAAATGATGATGTAACTTTGTCATATTTAATTCAGAGTTGCATTGATCAATTTGAAAAACGTTTTCCAGCTGTACAAATAGAATATGATAGTTTTCGTCATCATAGACACATACTTGTTCAACGTTTTGAAACGAAAAATTTCATTTATAAAAGAAAGGGGTCTGGAAGGCCCACAGTAATAACCAAAGATGTTGTTCAAGATGTGCGAATTCGCGTGGAGCAAAGTTCCACTAAATCGGTGAAAAAATTAGCAGCTCAAGCAGGTAAGAACAGTGTTTGGGAGCTTGACTCTCTTATAATCTAATTTCATTGTTTTAGATGTATCTGTAGGAACTAGCCATAAGATTTTGAAAAAAATACATATATCAATGCATTCTTATAAGGTTTTAGTACTGCAACAATTGTTTCCTGGTGATTTTGTTAAACGTATGGAATACTGTCGATGGTTCAATGAGCAATTAAATGACAATAACTTATTGGATCGAACTTGTTTTACTGATGAAGCATGGTTTAACTTATCACGATATGTCAATAGTCAAAATTATCGAACATGGGCAACTGAAAATCCTTATTCATCTGTGGAGACAAGTCTACATTCCATAAAAGTTGGTATTTGGGTAGCACTTTCATGAAGAAGAATAATAGGGCCAATATTTTTCTATGACACAATTAGTGGCCAACGTTATCGAAATATTTTTCTTGAATTTGTTGAACAGCTACAAGATGATGAGCTACAATTGGGTTATTTTCAACAAGACTATTGACCTTATAGAAGAATATTTTATTGACCGAATTATTAGTAAAGGATTATGGCCTCCAAGATCTCCAGACTTCACACCTTCTGACTACTTTTTAATTGGTCATATAAAAAATAAAGTATTCAGAAATCGTTTGCATGATGTGAATGACATGTTTATTCAAAATAAGATTACTATTACTTATTCTAACTAATACTATTGTAATTAAAACAGTCAGCTGTAGTTAAGATAATATACCTGTTGCCACCAAGCTAAAATAAATAATTTTTAATTGTGTTCTTTATGCATAACATTTTTTAACCCTCTGTTCCCACACTTAATTTTTATCTAGAATTTGTCCCTCAAAATTTCAATTATTGGATGATAATAATAATAATTATTCTAAATTCAGCTCTTTTAATAAAAGTAGGAGCTGCCCTATTCTGCGACACGCACTGGGATACACGTTGCCCCATGCTTATTTATACACAACAATTGAACTCAAAACAATTTTTTGTACCTGTCAGATTAAAACAAGAAAACCGTCAATTCCGAAGTAGAAGCGGATGATTAAGACGCACCTATTAAAAATATTGCGCCAAGATATAGGCAACACGTAATAAGGGATCAAAATGGCAGAGTTTTCTATCTCGTTTTAAAAGGCACTCAGAAAGCTGCGCAGTGCGACCATTCTCCGTATAGTAAAAGAAAATCAAAGTATGTGCCTGCAGCACTAGCCCACATCTAGGGATTTTTACTATTATTTTCACCAATCGCTGTCATGACGTTTGATCACGTGGGTTTCGGGTATTGTTGAAGACCTGGTAGTTGACGATGCAAATTACCAGGGCCTTAACTAGACATAGGCTGACTAGGCTCTTTCTTAGGGGCGCAAAGTGCCGGGCGCCAAACTCGAAAAGAATAGCCCAACCTGTTATATGGCAGTGTTGCCAATCTTTTAGTGAGCTGAATGATTTGAATTCCTAGATGGGGCATCGTTGTCCAAAATAGATATTAGTACTTTAAAAATACATATTAACGATTTGTGCTTAAAATATTCCAACGATTTGGATGTGGTTGAATTTGTCCAAGAGGCAGAAAGCTTTACATTTCAAGCCAAAGAACTTTTTGATTTGTAAAAGCTCTTGATATTTGAAATATACCAAAAACTTAATTAAATTCGATTTACTTTCTGAATATCCAAACTTTTTAATTTCAAGGTCTAACCCTAGACAACAAACTTTTCTGGAACACACATAAGAAGGAAGTAGTAAATAAGGCCACAAAAGCCCTAATGGTATGCAGAAATATTGCATGTACACGATGGGGAGGTAACCCAAACATACTGCGATGGATGTATACTGCAATAGTAAGACCAATCATCACTTACGGGGCTATAGCCTCGAGTAACAGAATTAGCTTAGCTACCACGAGAGCTAATATCTCAAAAGTACAAAGACTAGCCTATTTGCATTACTGGTGCAATGAGAACCTGTCCTACGGCCGCAATGGAGGTGATCTTAAACCTCACCCCTCTATATTTGATGACAGAGAATGTGGCAAAAAGAACACGATATAGAATGATCAGGAACAGAGCAATCAGACGAAAGTCTACTTGCTTCAGGACTAAAGATACCTGGGACATGTCCCAGGATGAAACGCTAAAGAAGTACAGTTTTGTGAAAAACTTCAAAACCACAGAGCTGGGCTGCAAGAAAGAATGGAGCCAGGAATCCATCGCGCTTGCAACCGAAAGACGTGCTATTCAGTGATACACGGACGGTTCCAAAACTATAGAAGGAACTGGAATAGGAGTATATGGGCCGAGAACCAAACACTCCGAAAACTTGGGAAAACACCCAAGCATCTTCCAGGCGTAAATACATGCCATCGAGAAGTGTATCCAGATTAACATCAAGAAAAACTATCATATACAAGAGATTATCATAATGTCCGATAGTCAAGCAGCCATCAAAGCGCCGAGTTCTTACGTAATCAGCTCAAAAATGGTCTGGAGATGCCTAGAACAATTGAATGAGGTGGGCGAGAAAAATAGAGTTACTCTCACTTGGGTCGCAGGACATAACGAGGTACAGGGTACCGAGATTGGAGATAGTCTTGCAAGGAAAGGGACTCAAACAGCCTTTGTAGGACCTGAGCCGTTCTGCGGTATCAGCAGTACCATAATATTAGGAGAGAATAAAAAAGAACTGGGCAGTAGAAGAACCGGTAATTGGAACAATCTCTTGGGGTTGAGACAAGCCAAGATACTTCGGGGTGAATATAACCAGAAAATATCGAAAGCCTGCATCTGCCTGAGCAAGAACAGGCTTCGTATTGTAACAAGGATCCTTACCGGGCATTGAGACATTTCCTTAGTACATTGGCGACAGAAGGGGACACAATAGATCTTTTAGGTCGCAGTGTAGTAACACCCCATTCCCAACATAACATAAAATTTCAATGCAAATATTTTTAACCTTACCCGTTACAAGCGCAACTTGTGAACGTTCTTTTTTCAGATTAAAGCGTGTTAAAATTTATTTAAGATCAACAATGTCACAGGAAAAATTAAGCCACGTAGCCCTAATTGCTATAGAAAGAACAGTAGCCGAGTCGATCTCTTTTGATACCTACCTGTCAAATTTTGCCTTACAGAAAGCCCGAAAAGTTCATTTTCAATTAAGTTTTTATATTTTTATTATTCTTAAGTAGTTTAGTTTAGTTTAGTTACCTATTGTTTTAGTATACCTATTTGTTTTTGTAATAGTGTTTTTAACTTTCTTTATTATTTAGACTTTACAAGTCATATAGGTTAAGTTTTTATTGTTAACATTCAAAAATTAAATAGCTTACTATATAATTTTATACTGTTTTATTTTTAACTAAAAAAAAAAAAACTATTAGGGGCGCTGAAATTCGAGCTGCCTTTAGTAAATTTTTGTCTTGTTACGCCCCTGCAAATTAGTACTCCATATTACTTGAAACTTTACCAACTATATTGCAGCGTGTATTTTTGTCGGTTTCAGGAGAAAGAATGGTGCTGTCGGCGAGGTAGTAGGGTTTCATGACATAAAAAAATCAGCTTAGAAAACATATCGAATTTTTTATGCTCGATTCGTAAAATCAAGTAGCATATAGGAAGCGCCCCAGCATGGGAAGCACCTCATCGAAATTCAAGAAATATCTACAAAATGGCGACGAGTTTGCGGCCATGCAAATCTACCAGAGTTCCCCGGAACTCAGAAAAAATCTGGATCCGAATATGAGCTACGGGGAAAGTCACAACCACAATACGGCTTTGCATTATGCTGCTAAACATGGTAAGAAAATAGAAAAATACATATAAGATTAAAATTTTAAAAGAAAAAATTTACAAATAAATATTTGCAAATATTTACAAATATTTACAAATAAATATTTACAAATATTTACAAATATTTACAAATATTTACAAATATTTACAAATATTTACAAATATTTACAAATATTTACAAATATTTACAAATATTTACAAATATTTACAAATATTTACAAATATTTACAAATATTTACAAATATTTACAAATATTTACAAATATACAAATATTTACAAATATTTACAAATATTTACAAATATTTACAAATATTTACAAATATTTACAAATATTTACAAATATTTACAAATATTTACAAATATTTACAAATATTTACAAATATTTACAAATATTTACAAATATTTACAAATATTTACAAATATTTACAAATATTTACAAATATTTACAAATATTTACAAATATTTACAAATATTTACAAATATTTACAAATATTTACAAATATTTACAAATATTTACAAATATTATACAAATATTTACAAATATTTACAAAATATTTACAAATATTTACAAATATTTACAAATATTTACAAATATTTACAAATATTTACAAATATTTACAAATATTTACAAATAATTACAAATATTTACAAATATTTACAAATATTTACAAATATTTACAAATATTTACAAATATTTACAAATATTTACAAATATTTACAAATATTTACAAATATTTACAAATATTTACAAATATTTACAAATATTTACAAATATTTACAAATATTTACAAATATTTACAAATATTTACAAATATTTACAAATATTTACAAATATTTACAAATATTTACAAATATTTACAAATATTTACAAATATTTACAAATATTTACAAATATTTACAAATATTTACAAATATTTACAAATATTTACAAATATTTACAAATATTTACAAATATTTACAAATATTTACAAATATTTACAAATATTTACAAATATTTACAAATATTTACAAATATTTACAAATATTTACAAATATTTACAAATATTTACAAATATTTACAAATATTTACAAATATTTACAAATATTTACAAATATTTACAAATATTTACAAATATTTACAAATATTTACAAATATTTACAAATATTTACAAATATTTACAAATATTTACAAATATTTACAAATATTTACAAATATTTACAAATATTTACAAATATTTACAAATATTTACAAATATTTACAAATATTTACAAATATTTACACATATTTACAAATATTTACAAATATTTACAAATATTTACAAATATTTACAAATATTTACAAATATTTACAAATATTACAAATATTTACAAATATTTACAAATATTTACAAATATTTACAAATATTTACAAATATTTACAAATATTTACAAATATTTACAAATAATTACAAAACTTTACAAAAATTTACAAAAATATAAATTTAAAAAAAATTACTAAAAATTACAAAACATCACTCTATTTTTGTCCTGTCCTTATCGTAGCGTTATTGTTTTAGGAATGAAACATTTACTTCGCACCTTTCTTAACGATTTGGGGGGGAACCCGAACAAAAAAAACGCCCACAACGAGACTGTGTTGCACGCGGCGTGCCAACTTAACCAAACGAAAAGTTTCAGTGCCCAAGAGAGACGAGCGGCCTGCGTCCATCTTCTTCTCTATTGGAAGGGGGTGGCCTTGAACAATGGCACTAGAGAAAAGGTCGACCTGACTGCCCAAGACAAGGTGAGAAATAACGAGACATAAAATTTTGCAAATTATCGAAATTTTAAAAACTAAATAAGTTTTTCTAAATAATACTAATTGGTTCTGATGCAATACTTTAATTTTATTAAAGAATTATTAAAAAAACAATAAAGAATTTACAAATAATTTACAAAGAATTTACAAAGAATTTACAAAGAATTTACAAAGAATTTACAAAGAATTTACAAAGAATTTACAAAGAATTTACAAAGAATTTACAAAGAATTTACAAAGAATTTACAAAGAATTTACAAAGAATTTACAAAGAATTTACAAAGAATTTACAAAGAATTTACAAAGAATTTACAAAGAATTTACAAAGAATTTACAAAGAATTTACAAAGAATTTACAAAGAATTTACAAAGAATTTACAAAGAATTTACAAAGAATTTACAAAGAATTTACAAAGAATTTACAAAGAATTTACAAAGAATTTACAAAGAATTTACAAAGAATTTACAAAGAATTTACAAAGAATTTACAAAGAATTTACAAAGAATTTACAAAGAATTTACAAAGAATTTACAAAGAATTTACAAAGAATTTACAAAGAATTTACAAAGAATTTACAAAGAATTTACAAAGAATTTACAAAGAATTTACAAAGAATTTACAAAGAATTTACAAAGAATTTACAAAGAATTTACAAAGAATTTACAAAGAATTTACAAAGAATTTACAAAGAATTTACAAAGAATTTACAAAGAATTTACAAAGAATTTACAAAGAATTTACAAAGAATTTACAAAGAATTTACAAAGAATTTACAAAGAATTTACAAAGAATTTACAAAGAATTTAACAAAAAAATTAACAAAGAATTTACAAAGAATTTACAAAGAATTTACAAAGAATTTACAAAGAATTTACAAAGAATTTACAAAGAATTTACAAAGAATTTACAAAAGAATTTACAAAGAATTTACAAAGAATTTACAAAGAATTTACAAAGAATTTACAAAGAATTTACAAAGAATTTACAAAGAATTTACAAAGAATTTACAAAGAATTTACAAAGAATTTACAAAGAATTTACAAAGAATTTACAAAGAATTTACAAAGAATTTACAAAGAATTTACAAAGAATTTACAAAGAATTTACAAAGAATTTACAAAGAATTTACAAAGAATTTATAAATTAATGATTTATAACGCAAATTGTGTAATAAAAGAGAAAAAAAAAAAGTAAATTAAATGCAATATCTTTAACTGGTCCAGCCAGAAACATTATTTAAACAAAATATCGAAAAAATTTAATTAAAAATAATTAAATTTAATTAACTTTTGTATTTTAAAAGAGCTTTTGATGATACAGTTTTGCCGATATATAAAAAGCAATTAATCAACTTTGTTGCGAAAATGATGAATGCAACATTGAATAATGGTACTCGTAAAAATGCATTTCAAAAATATGTGTTCGCTGTGCAATAAGAAATTAATGGTCCGTCATAGCAGATTATGTTTTATATATAATGAAAATACAGGATGTATCAAAAAATAGGTCAAAAATCATTCTAGATTTTTTTTATTAATAAATATTTTTTAATGATTTATTTTAATTCTCTGTTGATATTTGATTATCTGTTAAAGTTTGAGTCTTTGTTAAATTAAATCAACTAAGAATCATTTCATTTATTCGGTTCGTTAAAAATACAGGATTTTGTAAAGACGTCAGTTAAATAGATACATAATATCTTTTAAAAAATTTATATTGATATTACAATATGGATTTACAATATTGACAGATTAAAAAATACAGTAATGAGACAGCACGGATGTTATGCTGCCAAAAGGGCTGCTTCAAATAATAAAACTAAATAAATTAACAAACGTATTTGACACCTTACCTTTTTTGGAATATTGGAATCGTAGGCGACCGGCACACACATAGCAAAGGCACAAATTAAGCGGTAGCAAGCAAACTGATTACTTTGTTTACGGTACATCGAGCTCTCTTGGTTCTTCGAAAAGCATGAACCGTTTAGGTGCGGCAAAGTGTCAAAAATAGATAACGCGAGTAATTAAAAGTAAGACATTAATAAAGAAAATTAAATCCAATCTCGAAAAATTAAAATGACATCAAGATAACACAATAAAATAACACATTCAAATAACATATTACATCAATAAGTTTGATGTCGTTTTCACAAATTTCCATGTCCTAAAAGTGGAGAAATATATTTTATTGTGAATTATACATTATAATCTATTAAAATATTAATTATTGTTATTTTTTTAGGAAGGCAATACAGCTCTACACTGGGCTGCTCAGACAGGTTTAAAGCGATGCGTGGAACTTCTCTTGGCGCACGGATCTCCATTTTTCGTAGAAAATAGCGACAAAATGACTCCGTGTGATCTGGCAATGCGAGGATCACATCACGATATAGCTAGATTGTTGGAGAGTCGGATGGTTTTTGTAAGTATTCTAAGAAATATTATAATATTGATATGAAGGCGGGTTTTCTGTACGCCCCTGGGGCCCAATTCCTGAAACTATGCGTTGAACGCCGCATTCGACTAGCGACGCATGGTCGCCACCGCATGCGACGCAAAATCTGTATTCTTGACTACCCTTCGTTAGGATAGTTTTGTGTCGCATGATGTAACGAAGAGTCTTTAATTATTGCAGTAGTTCAATCGTTTTAAACCAATAAAATTTCAGAACGTCATAACAAAACTGCATTATCGACTGAAAAATGTCAAAAAAAAAATTCTTTTGCGAGTGTCATTGTGTAATCTCTTTTATTATTAAACTAAATTCTTTGAAAAATTTGAGTAGTGTTTTGATAATGGAGATTGAAAATGAAAAGAAAAGCTTCAAAATTAGCGAGCAACAGAGAACAGCTTTAATAAATTTTATGAAAGATCACCCGAATTTAGTTAGTGGCAAATTTACAAATCATTTCACTGCTACAACAGCTAAAAATTTATGGAAAGAATGTGAAACCACACTAAATAGCATAATAGGGGGGAAAAAAGATTGGAAGCAGTGGAGGAAAGTAAGTATTTTTATATTTTTATCTATAATTTAACGATATATTGATTTTATTAACATTGTAGTGCTGGCATGATATCAAATCAAAAACAAAGTCTAAACATGCCAGATTAAGAACTCACCAAGGTGGAACTGGTGGCGGTCCCGCTACACCAGAAATATTATCTAATTGGGAAGAGAATATAATAGATATAATGTGCCCAACTGCTAGTACAGGGCACCCAGGAACTTTAGAGTCATCCATTGTTTTTGTAAGTATTTTATACAAATCACTAGTAAGAAGGTGATTAAGAGGATTATTATTTTTAATATTATTTATTATTGTTGTTAAGATAGAAAATACATGTTTCTTAAATTGTGATTTTTTATTTTCATGTAGGATCTTCCTCTTTTACAACATAATACTCCTAAGATATTAGAAAACAGTAATGCTCAAATGCAGGAAGTTTCTCAATATGAACTAGAAATTGAAACGAATATAACTAATCCTGTACAGATAGAGAATAGAACACTAAACAATATAAAAGGTAATATTGTAGAAAATACACTCTTAAGCTATTATTTATTTCAACAGTAATATTGAGCAATTAAAAGGCAACTAAAATTCGTCAATTTTAGTATCTTCTTGATTTAGATTAGTTTATAAATTTGTATAATTTTTTTTAGAAAAAAAAGTTACTCGGAAACAGCAACTTTCTCAATCAGTGGAAGCCACGAAAAATTTAACAGTCACGTCCAAAGAAAGAAACGAAATATTTAAAGAGTATTCACAAGAAAAATTAAATATTTTAAAGGAGACCAATAATTTAAGAAGAAGGAAATTGGAGGCTTTAGAAGAGCAAACTTCTTTAAAGAAAAAAAAACTGGAGGCAACAAAAGAGCAGAACAAAATACTGCAAAATATAGCAACTTTGCTAAAAAATATTCTCGAAAAATAATAATGCATATATTAATAGTTGTGTGTTAAATTTTTGTTTATTTTTTAGTTTTAAAATTATTTTGTTTTTTATTTATTAGGTTTAATTTAGTTATATTGTTGTTAGTTGTTCCTGTAATTACATTAAAAGCAAAATACAATACATAGTAATATTAATTTATTTAAACAAAGTAGTTTTCAATTATTTTAATTATTCATACGCCTTCCAATTTTAATCTCTAAAATGTCCATTTATCACCAATGTTTGTTTCCTTCTTCCTGCTTCCAGATCTGGATTAATTCTTCTTTGGTTTCTAATACGTTGTCCTGGCTGTTCGTCAATAAAATTGTCGATACCAAAATCCACATTTTCCAGTTCCTCATCTAAATCTGGTTCTGGAATATTATGATTTATACACATTGTGTAACACCACACATGCATTTATTATAAGTGATGCTTTGTCCGGGGTATAGTGCAATACCCTGTGCTTCAGTAAACATCTAAATCTCATTTTGAGTACACCATTACATCTTTCAATGATGCTTCTCGTTGATTTGTGGCAAGCATTATACCTGTATTCATTTGTGTTGGGAGGAGGTTCAACCTCTGTAGGGGTTAGAAGCCAAGCCCTGAGGTAATAACCTGAATCTCCTAAAAATAAATATAAAATTAATTAGATTATGAAGACATATCTAGAATTACCTAGAATTTTGAATTCTTCCTCATTCATGACGAAAACGAAAGACGAAAGAATGGAAGATGGCTGAAGAACATTCATGTCAAATATCACTTTGACCTACAGTGATTAAGAACTTAAATCTAAAAAGACTATTCAGTAGCTAATTATTATTATCATCCTGATTTACTGATCAAAATCTTTTTGATTGTAGTATAGAAATAGTAATCGGCTAAAAATGTTTCTAAAGTAGGCCATGACCGACAAAGACAGAGATACGAGTCATGACCGTGATAACTACGCATGGTTCTGAATTAAGACCAAGCGTGAATTTCTCCAAGATCTACTTTAGAAACATGTTCTGTGGTTCACTCCATACTGTACCTAATAAATGGTAACCATTATACCCCATTTGATGTAACCTTTCCATAGCTACCTTAATGTTGGAATCACTTAAAATATGATTATCATGTGTGCTTCCTGGATATCTTGAGTTGACGCTCAAAATTCTCAATTTGGAATCACATACCTAAAATTAACATTGTAATGCATTTGAAGACGATTTTTTAAAATAAGTAAATTACCAATTGAACATTAATTGAATGATAACGTTTTCTGTTAATATACATGTGTTCAGGATAAACGGGATCATTTGTTTTTGGTGGAACTATTGCCACATGTGTGCAGTCTATGGCTCCAATAACACCAGGAAACCCATACATATTGAAAAAACTAGAATATAAAAATCAAGTCAAATCTGAAAATTTAAAATACGCTAATTTTAACTTACCCATTACGAAGGTTTACCAAGTTCTCCTCATTTACTGAAAATTTAACCCAATGGTTAAAAATTTCTGGCCTATTTAGGATATTTGCTACTTCCTCTACAGCCCTGCTAACCGAAGATTGGCTAATGGATAAAAAAATATTTGAGCCAACATCTAATTGATAGCTTCCCGAGGCAAAGAACCTAAAAAATACTTTTAATTTTTAAGTATAAATGTTGACTATATTCAATACAATAAACAAGAATACAAATTAACTTAATACTTAAACCACCAAATTACATTTGGATTGGTATATTTCTGTTTCCAGTTTATTGTTATTAATAGATAAAATTATAGGAAAATAAAAATGAAAATAGTTGTATTTATAATTATTATGGGTTTAATTACTAACCTTTAGTTGTGGACTCAGAGCTGAATTTCTTCGTGGTTGCATCATGTAGGGAGTCACTAATATAATTATATTTTCAACTAACTCCTTAGTTAGTCGAAATATTCTTCTAAACTGCCTATCTGGTAAAAGAAATGGATCCTGTCGCCTGTTGTAATTGAGAGGTGGCAGTTCTGCATCTAATTGTGCCTCTTCAATATTATGTATTCCCTGAATAAGGGCAATTTCCTCTATATCGTCCATTTTATAAGAAGTTTCCAATAGTAAATACAATAACTAAATAAAATTAACACTAACGACTTATAAACAGCAAAACCGTAAAATAATTATGTAATAATAATAATCATTAATAATAATAACAATAATAATAAGATAATTATAAAAAACGAATTAAAATATAAACTAGGAAAATATAAACAATGATCTCTTATATTACTAAGTGACAGTGACAAGTAATATGCATGGATACCCATGGTTACCGCATGCGAGATAGGGTTATCGCATGGTCAAGACCGCTCGTTGCAAATTGTTCGCCAAGCACCGCATGCGGGGATAACTCGCATACGCCTAGGCTTTCAAGAATACCATTTATCTACTCGCATACGTCACCTGATGCGAGACAAATACGAACGCCGTCAGGAATTAGGCCCCTGATCATTTTCAACTTGGGAAAGGTACAAATCCGTCTGTTGATTTTAAAATTTGTTCTGTTAAACAGCATAGAAACGTATTTGGTAAAAGTGATTATGTTCATCAAAATGGTCATCATGAATATTGAATTATATCCTCTTTCACTAAAAGGCTGGTGAAAGTATTAGGGCACAAGTAACCAACAACTGTTGCCATTAGAAAACCATTTAAGTTGGATTTTGTCAGAATAACATAAATAACTTGGATTTATGTTACGTTCAAGTCGTTGTATACAATTAAGAGCAGCGTGGTTCATGAAAGGCGGAGAGTTCCACTGAGAGTGGGAAAAGGGGATCTAAAAGAATACATTTCAGATTCATCGAATTTAAGCAGCCAGAGTAGATACTAAATTATCTTTTAAATCTCATTTTAGAAACTTCTTATCAAATTGAACTATCCCCTAAAGAAAAAGTTTTGATTGGAAGCATCACAAAACTTATTTCAAGATAATATCAACACTCTGGTACTGGAAGGCACATGGATTTGTAGCCTATTTTCCCTTATTCTTTTTTGTCTGCTGTTCTAAGCCAATCATTTATCCCCATATCGTTTAGGTCCCTTTCCATCTTCTATAACTATTTAGTCCTTGGTCGTCCCCTTTTTCTCCTCCCAGTCATTTCTCCTAATAATACTTGCTTTGTTGGTCTTTCATTTACTTATCTTGCTACGTGTTCTAACCACCTCATTGATAACCTGGCTACATTCGTTATAGAGATATTTCCATATAATTCGTTTATTTGAACATTTGTTCTTTTTTGCAAAACTTATCTACTTTCTTTCCGCGATATATCTTTCTTTTCGCTCTAATATTTCCAGTTTCTTTTTTAAATTTCCGTACGTGACTACTGACCTTACTATCATTTGATGATGATGATGATGATGATGATGATGATGATGATGATGCAGTCCTCCTATACATTTTATCCCTTAAGCTATTCGTTTTTCTTATTTCTCTGCTTCTTTGCCATTACCGGCTATTGTGTACCCTATATAATTAAATTTAGGAGTCTAAATTTAGGATGTCACAATATTGCTTAAGTAAAAATGTATTTATATTCAAAACCTTTTAACAACACTTTATGCAGAAACATTGCAGGTAAACGATGTAACACAAACATACTGCGATGGATGTATACTGCAATAGTGAGACCAATCATCACTTACGGGGCTATATCCTGGAGTAACAGAACTAGTTTAGCTACTACGAGAGCTAATATCTTAAAAGTACAAAGACTAGCCTGTGTTTGCATTACTGGTGCAATGATAACCTGTCCTACGGCCGCAATGGAGGTGATCTTAAACCTCACTCCTCTACATTTGATGATGTAGCAGAAAGGATACGATATAGAATGATCAGGAACGGAGTAATCAGACGAAAGTCTACTTGCTTCAGGATTAAAGACACCTAAGACATGTCCCAAGATGAAATGCTAAAGAAGTACAGTTTTGTGAAAAACTTCAAAATCACAGAGCTGGGCTGCAAGAAAGAATGGAGTCAAGATTCCATGGCGCTTGCAACCGAAATACGTGATATTCAGTGGTATACGGACGGTTCCAAAACCATAGAAGGAACTGAAATGGGAGTGTATGGGCCGAGAACCAAGCACTTTGAAAGCTTGAGAAAATACCCAAGCATCTTCCAGGCGGAAATTCACGCCGTCGAGAAGTGTGTCCAGTTTAACATCGAGAGTAACTATCATAGACAAGAGATTAACATCATGTCCGATAGTTAAGCAGCCATCAAAGTGCTGAGCTCTTACGTAATCAGCTCAAAAATGGTCTGGAGATGCCTAGAACAATTGAATGAGCTAGATGAGAAAAATAGAGTTACTTTCACTTGGGTCCCTTGACATAACAAAGTACAGAGTACCGAGATTGCAGATAGTCTTGCAATGAAAGGGGCTCAAACACCCTTTGTAGGACCTAAACCGTTCTGCGGTATCAGCAGTAACATAATATTAGGAGAGATTAAAAAAGAATTGGGCAGTAGAAGAACTGATAATTGGAACAATCTCTTGGGGCTGAGACAGGCGAAGATACTTCTGGGTGAATATAACCAGAAAAGGTCGGAATCCTGCATCTGCCTGAGCAAGAATAGGCTACGTATTGTAACAGGGATCCTTACCGGGCATTGCCGATTAAAAGGACACCTAAATAAACTGAGAGTAGTAGAGGATAGTAAGTACAGATTCTGTGAGGAGGAGGACGAAACCTCCATTCATATCCTAACGGAATGTGTAGCACTCCAGAATCCAAGGACACTACATCTAGTAGGATATCAAATAGAAGAGGGAGATTTACCTAACTTGAAGCCACTTCAAATCCTACACTTCCTTGAGAAAATAGGATTGGAAGGGTCAGTAGAAGAACTGATAATTGGAACAATCTCTTGGGGCTGAGACAGGCGAAGATACTTCTGGGTGAATATAACCAGAAAAGGTCGGAATCCTGCATCTGCCTAAGAAATAAAGAACAAGAATAGGCTACGTATTGTAACAGGGATCTCGAAACCTTTCTTTTTTTCTTTTTCATATTTCCGGGCATTGCCGATTAAAAGGACACCTAAATAAACTGAGAGGGGCTCAAACACCCTTTGTAGTAGAGGATAGTAAGTACAGATTCTGTGAGGAGGAGGACGAAACCTCCATTCATATCCTAACGGAATGTGTAGCACTCCAGAATCCAAGGACACTACATCTAGTAGGATATCAAATAGAAGAGGGAGATTTACCTAACTTGAAGCCACTTCAAATCCTACACTTCCTTGAGAAAATAGGATTGGAAGGGTCGTTATAGGCATTAAGACATTTCATTAGAGCATTGACAACAGAAGGAGGCACAATAGATCTTTTGAGTCGCAGTGTATTATCGCCCCATTTCCTACATAACATAACAACACTTTATGAAAAACCTTCGCTACTTCTGGGGGAAGTACTGGTAGAAAAGAAAATATGCACATTACTGCAGCTCTTCTATTGCCCCATTGTTTTCTTAAATCAATACTGGAATACTTGTTAATTTCATAAAAATATTTTCAAGATTTTAAAAATCAAACGAATTTCATAGATTCCATTATTTTCATATTAGTTTTTCCAATTTCGAGACATTCACTATTTTTTAAAAATCTATGAATTTTATTTGAATTTCTGATCCAAAAATATGGCGATTGTTCAAAATTAAACAAATTCAATCATTTTAAGAACATTTCTGGATAAAAAAAAATGTTATTCCATATAATCCTTTAATATAATTTCCAAGGAAAAATTTAAAAAATGTATATATTTTAAACAATGCTAAACACATTTCCAACTTATCATTAATCAAAACTTTGTTATTTTAAGGCCGACTCTTCAGACGTAATGAACGAGGATGAAATAATGAGCGAACAAGAAGTGTACAGCGGTCTCAGGAGCCAAGACCTGCAGGAAGCCAAGGACCAATTACTAGTAGACACTTCAGACATGCTGAAAATACCACTTTTCACTGCTGAAGCGCTTCTCAGAAATAACGGTGAGTGAATTATAAGAAAGAACCAGGTTATAAAGAAAAGGGATTCGGTGAAATTTCCTGAATTGTTGACATATTAGAGTTAACGACTTCCTGGATGATAGTGACTTAATCCTACGACTAGTTTTTTAAAAAAATAGAAAATTTGCAAGTTCAACAGCCTGTGTATCAAAAACTAGTCATAGGATTGAGTTCTGCGCACGAACACTATTAATTAGAAAATTGACAATTACAACATATCAAAAAACTAATAAAATTTTTCCATAAGCCCTCCCTGGTCCTCTATTAAATATTTTTCTTTTTTTTTCGGAAACCAACAATATTTTATCTAAGCATGTTTAATCGTCTTATTTTTAATCAGAAAATCTTGTTGTTCTGTGTTCCATTCTTAATTTTTGTTTATTCAGAATGGTCGAGGGAACTTCTTTTGGAAGGATGGATGAAGGACCCAGTAGAATGCTGCCAGTTGGCAGGAGTGCAGGCTCCTACATCTGTACTAAAAACTGGCAGTTCCATTGAATCAAGTACTTCTACAGAGTCTAACACGCTTGAGGATACAGAATTTTTGGTAAGTATTATCATGGAGCATCCTTAATATTTTATTGAAAGAGTATTATTCATTACATTTGCATCATACTGTATCACACAATAATGTGCTCCTCTTTATGACCCACCCTATACATATTTTAGTATCTTTCACTAAACCCCTCCTATTCATTGTACTAAATGTTGGAAAACAAATAACACTTCACTTTAATATTCCAAAACTGAAAACTAAAAATTTGTTTTCTTGATATTATTTGATGAAAATCTATATTATTAAAATAAGAAAACGAAACATAGTAGATTTTCAAACACTTTTATTTAAAAAATAAAAAATTACACTATTGTTTCGAAGTACAACTACATTTGAAGAAGAAGTGTACTTTTTAATTTAATTTTTTTTAAATAAAAGTATTTGTGAAAATGTACCATGTCTGGTTTTTCTTATTTTATTAAAAATTTGTTGTTATTATTTCAGTGTGAAATCTGTATGTTCACAATCTCGAACTGGGATCAGCCGGTGAAGATGTCGTGCAAACATACTTTCTGCAAGAGCTGTTGGAAAAGTTATTTGACCACCAAAATCCAAGATGGAGACGCGCATCACATTTTGTGTCCAGCTTTTCAGTGCGATATTCTGGTACCTGTGGAGCTCATTGAGAGGATAGTTACTCCAGAAATGGCCAGAAGGTACTTGCAGTTTGACATAAAGGTAAGAATGATTTTGCTTATTTATGTAAATTTCTGGACATATGGCATGTTGGATTTAAAATAATTAATGTATCATACAAAGGTTCTTAAATGTCACACAACCCCAGCACCTCGGTTATTATGGATGATCTGAGGTGGGTCAGAATAAACCAATGACATATATAGTTTAAATAGACTGCTTATCCATACGTAAATAAAACGATGAAAAGTGGGTCCAACTGGGAGATGGTTTCTCTTTGTCTAGTGCATGCAATGTTTGTGTTTTGTCTCAATTTTGAGTGCTCACTGGTAAACAAACCTTTCACAGGACCGGTTTTAAAGAAAGTTTAGTCTAGTTGAGATTTTATTCTCATTGTCATTACTCAGTCGGACATTTTGTTGAATTGTTTATTTTATTTAGTTTTAATTATACTTATGTTCTGTTTTAAGTTTTTTAATTATTTGAGTATAAAAACTTGTTTTGTTTTTAAATTTAAATGGTGAATTGCTCTATAAAGGTTTGTAAGACCAGCTACAGAAATATAAAAAGTAACATTTCATTTTTCACGCAAGTATCAATACAAGTAGGTACAAGGTAAATACGTTTATAATAATTTTACGAATTATAATTAATTATAATAATAATATTAATAATAATAAAGTATTTATTGTAAATACAATTACATAAATATTATATTCAAAGGCCCGAGTTAGAGCTATCTGGGCTTTACAAATACATTTTAAAAGTTAGTTAGATACAGAGAAGTATCGTATAATAAAAACTCAATATAAATAGAAGAAAAACGGACATAAGTACCAATACAGAGAGACAAACACTTTTATTCTTTGATAGGTTCTTTCCATGTGAATTCTAGCTCTGGCAATTTTGGCATTAAGTAAAGCCTCTTGATGGCTGAACTGATTTTTTTTATTGAGGAAAGGAGGCTGTATAATTTGTATACCTTCAGCTTCTGTTATGTTTCCAATAAGAAAACCTTTGTTAAACATTTTACTATCGAGAAATGATTCACACACTTCAAGTATTGAACTTTGTTAAAAAATTTCTATTTCTGAAGTTTACCACCATATGCTTCACTTTTGTAAGTAATGAGACCAGTAGGTGACACTCCAGTCAATATTTTAATAGTATGCCTCTTTTTGTAGTCGAGAGTAATTTTTTAGCCTACAACAAAGACATTTGGCTTGCTGTATTGGGATTTCGGTACAATCAAGTAGTAGTACTCTTACTTACATAGAGGCACATTATTTAATATTTCTAAGAACTTCTACCAGTTTTATTAAAAACTGTTAAAAAATTTAACGATAAAAAGAATAAAATTCCTACTTTGATGAAATGTGTTTTAAACTCATTTGGGCCAGACCGATTCTGCCTGGTGAGCACTCGGCAAGCCAAGCAATATGACCCGCTTTTCGTCGTCTTGTTTATATATGGATGAGCAGTCTATTAATCTATATATGTCATTGGAATAAACAGTGTTAATTTTAGTTTAGTAAATAAAGCCTGAATTATTAAAAGAATAAAAATGTAGACGCCATTGAAGGTAAAACTTGAATACACTCTGTTACCAAACTTAGGCTACTGTCCTCCAATAAAGATGTTGTAACAAATCAATATCATTCAACTTCTAAACCTTATTTAGAGTCAAAGTCTGGGTCTAATATTGTTGAGAAATTAAAACTTAGGAGACTTGTGAACAAATTTTCTTATGGTGAGCCTTTAGGCATTCCAAACACAATGGCCCAAGCAGCAAGGTGCCGTCATTATGACGTGATTTTTTAGGTTTACTCGTCAGAAACGTCACTATCCCAATTAATGACGTTACTTTGACGTCGTTTTTGCAACGTTGATTAGACGTCAATGCAGACGTAATTTTTTAGTATTAATTTATCCGAAATACTCAGTAACGTGTATTTGACGTTGCATTGATGACATAGAATAGACGTCACTTAGAATTCGTCATAATTACGTTATTTTTTCGTATATTTCTGACAATGTCATATTGTCAATTGTCATTGTTGTTTCCTGTTTCCTCCATTCCTGGGATCTTTATTATCAAATACACATTTGTCGGATAGAGTCCACACAAAGGCGTTTCCTTAAATACTTAAGTTTTTAGGCAGACCACCGATTGGTATTACTCAAAATGCTTTACTGATTAGACACAGATTGACAAGTATCGACGTAAGACGGAAGTACTTCTCCATAATTACCCTCTACAAAGTTAATTTGAAAATAAATTGTAAAGCTCTTTTATATATACTTAATTTTAGAATCCCCCGCACAACTTCTTGAAACACCGAATCATTTTACATAGCAACTCCTCGGACTTTATAAAACATAATTAAAAGAGCATACATTGCTTATGAACAATGCCGCCGTACTGTGGGACACACCTGGGGTTTCTCCCCCAGAGTCGTCACATGGACACGGCTATCATAAGACCTATGCTAACATACGGTACAATTGTCTGGGTACCGAAAACCCAAAAATTAACAGCTGGTTAAATTCTACAATTTCACCAGTAAAAACATCAACAAATTAATATTTTACACCTACTAAATAAATAAACAATTCTCAAATAGTTCGACTGCTTTTTACCCTAATATAATGTGAAGTCATAAAACTATAAATAGCATTTTTCTCAGAATACCGAACGTCGAACACCTGTGTTTTTAAGTGCACAGCGGTGCATTGGAACAAAATGAGTGTCCGGCGCATAGTGAACGAAGCACAAATGACGTATTTCATTATGTCATGATGTTTTCATTGGTTGAAACCGAATAGGTGCGTGAACTATGCCCCGGACACTCAGTTCGTCCCAACAGTATATATTAAGGTGCACTCGACGCGAGCAGTTCAGTTGTATGTTTGCCATCATTCAGTAGTTGTCTTATTGCCACAAACGCTCACAGTTGTCTTTGCCAGGTGCTTCTGCCGACGGCACGTTACTTTCGACATTTTTACAAGCATTTAATGCATTTTATTTTCTGGTGAAAGTTATATCTTCTACAATTATTATGGCATAAGAAATTCTACAAACAAATGTTTTCAAGTTGGTAACTAAAAAATCAACTGTATTAGTTAATAAAATTGTGATGAACTAAAATTGTAAATATTTAAAACTGTTTAGTGAAGATAAGAAAATTATTATATCTAAATGGAATCAACCACTATGTATTTACTTCAGTGAAAATAGTGAATTAAAAACACTTCTTTTTCTACTACCTATGACTCGTTAATTAATTCTACAAAAGAACCCAATTCTTCTAACACCAGCGACATATGCTACAGAACATTTTTACCAAAGAAATATTCGAAAGTAACACCGGTATTTTTTCAACAGCTATGCGTAAACTAAAACAAATTCGAAGAACAGCATGTCTCAACATAACAGGAGCCATGAAAACAACACCAACCAGAGCGATGGAAGTCATTCTTAGTCTCGCTCCCCTTGATATTTACATCAAGGAGGTTACTCTGACGACAATGACACGTCTCCGCACGGTTGGAATAGAACCTGATGTAGGATCTGGTGAGGCAAGACGTCACTTTTGGCAGGAAGCGCTCGATACGCTCCCACTGTTTCAAGCGAACATGGACTCCATCTCACCGAGATATATCTTTCATAAGCCATATAAAGTTATAATAGAACAAATAGAAGAGCCAGAAGTGGCAGGTACGATTCATATCTACACCGACGGTTCTAAAACAAAACAAGGCTCAGGATGCGGAATATACTCCATATTCTTAAACCTAAACATAAAATGGGCTGTGAGCAATAGTGCCAGTGTAGTTCAAACAGAGCTAACGGGGATTCTCATAGCAGCAAAAGAAATAACCAGAAATAATATCACTGGAAGGAACATGCTCATCTATACAGATAGCAGACTCACCCTGAAAAGACCACGAATTTATTCAGGGTTAGTACTGGAATGTCACGAAGCTTTGGCCGAAGTATCCATCAACAATGTGGCCACCTGAAGATGGATCAATGGTCACGCCACATCGAAAGGTAACCGTCTTGCCGATTTACTAGCCAAGAAAGTAGCCAACCAAATACTTTTTGGACCTGACCCTTCTATTGACCTGACAAAATCGGTAGTGACAGACCTAATTAAAGAACATTCCCTTGTGAAATTTAAGTAAAGATGGGATGAAACCAGAAACTGCAGAGTTGCCAGGGAGCTCTTAAGTTATCCTGAAAACACTGCAGCAAACAAATACTATGACTAGACAGAATCTGCGTCTGGTCACAGGTATTCTGACTGGTCATTGCCAAGTACGGAAGCATCTACATATCATGGGGCTGTCAGAATCCGCACTCTGCAGAGAGTGCGAACAAGAAGATGAGATCATCGAGGATATTCTTTACGATTGTCCGACGCTCTCATTTATTAGAAGATTTGTGTTTGGCGAGTATCGGCCAATATAAGAGAAGCACCTCTTGGCGACGTTGTTAACTACATTAAATCTGTAGGCTAGCTCACGAGCTAGGAGGTGCCTATAGTCTTAGGAGGATGCACAATGGGCCTAATGAGGCCTAAGTGCTGTAGGGGTAACCCACCCTCCACACGTTACAGATACAGATACAGAATTTCTCGGACAGACGTTCTGAAGTTTTCACCTGTATATAACATGTGTAATATTTATAATAATATTAGTGAACAGTTGGATATATTTAACTGCAGTGTTAAAAACATAAAAACTCATTGTTTAAAATAATTTAGAATTTATTTACTGTAATTTTAGTTTAATTATCTATATGCTTTTTGTTAAACATGTTTTCTTCCAAATGTACTCCTGTTCTGTAATTGGGTTTAACCTGTTGAACAATTTATAAATAAATAAATTAATTTTTATGATTCTCGTGAGTGACAGTCGTGACTAGTGACCTTGTGAACGTGGTGCATTTTTAAATTCTACTTTATTTGATAAGATGTTTTAGAAAAAGGTAAAAAATAGAATGTGATAATAAAGTATATTAAACCGAATTTGGTATT